TTTAGGCTTTTAACATTCAAAATAAGGAACTATTGAACTGAGCAGACAGTTGCAGATGGCTTCATATTCCCGGAGTTTAATTCAACTTTGAAAACCCAGTTATGGATGTAAAAGTGACGAGTAGATTTATAAAGAGAGTATTTTAGACAAGACTCCAGGAAGTTACTTGCTCCAGCTGAGAAAGGGATTGGCACATAACCCCACTTGAATCTGAAAATTGTCGGTTTAACACGTCTAAAACATTCAAATATAATGTGTAAGTAAGTGAGCTTTGGAGGTGCTCATGTAGAATAGGTAAATACTCCATATCTGAGCAGGTTTGTGAGTGATTACCGTATGAAGAGACCTGATGTCAGGGTTGCATTATCTTCAGAAAAGTGAAGAAGGATTGCTTAATTTTACATTTGGTTTATTTTTCAGACATGTTATTCAAAAGAAAGAAAGACTGAGCTGTGCAGTCAGCTGCAGATGGCTTCACTAGTATTCCTGGAGTTTAATTCAACTTTAAAAACCACAGTTCGAAAAGCCCTGCCTTTTAACCGCAATCATTTAAAGAGATTAAAATCTGGGCGCTGGGTTTATGCATTCATACATCATTCTGCATGAATCAGCGTTCCTCAGGGACACGGGATCGGCTCATCAAAGAATACATCTCTGCAACCGACGTGTTGGTGAGGACCGATCCTCCCTGATACACATGTATTTCTCTCTTGAAATGTATATTCTGCTTTAAACAGGGATCTTGATCTCAGGGAGACTACCTGAATAAAGATAAAACAAAAGCCAAATCACCCCGAGTGATAAAGGATAATCCACATACTGACGTAGCACATACTGATCCTTGGTTCACGTCGGGGCAGGTCTCAGCTTTCAGTTCACACAGTTTAAACTGTCACTCCCATTTTCAGGGTGAAAGATTGTTGATTTTCAGTTTTTTTATTTAGAAGTTCATATAACATTTTCATGCCTGATTTAATAGTTTTTTTTAATCCAACTCAGCATCCCAACCTTTTCTTATCCAGTCCTTCCTCTCTTTTCCTTTTCCTTATATTGCGATACATTGCTGGATAGGGTGCAGTGCATCTTGAATGTCTTTCAAGTCTTGGCACAGCGGTGCATATCTTACCTGAGAGCGGTGGAGTTGCAGCAAGCTTTTGCCCTGGGGCATCAGAGACTTCCCCCCACCCCCACACCCCACCCTCCTTCAGTGTGGTCCATATCCTCGCTGGTACACTGGGAATGGGCGTACTCTGCCATACAGCCTCCCTGTCAGGGATTATGCAGACATTGTAAAGGTAGTTTCACTGCTCAGCCTTTTTGTCCTTTATGAAAAATGCAGATTTTCTCTACGCCTCAATTTTATATTTGCTCTCCTTAGAGTTGACTAACTGAATTAAACGAGGCTGTTTTTCTAATATACAAATAGTGGATAACATTTAAATTAATAGTTTGACAATTTGGAGAAAATGATTTTGTTTGCTCTCTTGCTGAGAGTTAGATGGGAAGATCAATGCTGCATGTCTTTTCAGTAAATGTGAAACTACAGCCAGCAGCGCTTTAGCTCAGAAATTGGAAAGAGGGGGAAACAGTTAGCCTGGCTCATTATATTTGTACACATCAGTTTTTTTCAGATAAAAGATATGACATTTTAATTAGTGAGCTTCAGAGCTTTGCTACCTTTGGACGCCTCAGTCTAGCTGTAGCTACAAAGAGAGTCATATCGATCTTCTCATCCCTCAGAAACAAATAAGAAGTATTTCCCAATATGTCAAACCATCCCTTTAATATGTTGCCTCTTGTGAAATCAGGCTGTCAGCTATAAAGCCAAGCATTAAACCACGGAGCCTGCCGATTTATGTGGATATTAAACCGGCATTTCACAGCCGTTCCTACAAAATAGGAATTAATCAGGATAAATCAAGAAGTAAAGTGTTCGTCCTGGCAATAAGGCCAAAGTTGCACCTTAACTCTGTAAGACGTATTCTCACCAACTTGAATACAGAGCTCCTTGCTTACGTGCAGCGCAGCATTCCAGGCAGGCTGAAACACGACCGTGCGTGTTCCCTGTCTGAGGGAATCAGTTAAACTGGGCGGATGCAAGAAATGGGGTCACACACATACAAGTCTGTAACTAGGAGTGCAACAAAAATAAATATAGTCTTAAACTCATGTCACCTCATGGCAGGTATTCTGAGGTCAAGTTTAGAGCAAGTGCCTTTGCATAATTCAAAATAAAGACGCCAAATGGACTGCACTGAAATAAAACCACTTCTACCATTTGCATTATTTTAACACTCAGTCCTGCACTTCAGAAAAAAAGAACCAATTTACTTAAAAGCATAGTTTTTCTAGCCATTCTCCATCAGTAGCTTCACTCAAACAGGGAATAAATCCTCTAAACAACAAGCCTGAAGAAACATCCCTTTGATGGAAAGGCAAAGACGGTATCAGCAAACCTAAAAAGGGCTTATTACTTCTGTCATTTCCATAAAATGTGGGTTTTTAAAGTACCCCCGGATGTGTTTATTACTGATACATTTTCCCCACAGTAATAAGCCCCAAAGTTTCCAGTTTCCACAGTCAGCCTGAACTTATCTTAAATGGAAGAAAAAACAACATCAGAGAGATTTTATGGGATTAATAACTAGAATAACTTTCAAGGTGAATGGATTAAATTGATAACTCAGACGTAAAGAGGTTCTCTGCTTTCAAAATGCTTTTATGTATCATTATAAAAGGATTTAGTATTGATTTGGGAGGTTGATGTTTTCTTAAATTGTGCTTGTTGACGCTGTTTGCATGTATTACTATATCAGTTGTCATTTTTCTCCTGCATTAGTACACATGTGTGCATGTTGCACACGGGGATGTGGTGATTCACATCTTGATGTTTCCTAAACGTTTTTTTTATTTGGGGGAGGAGAGGGGTTTTACCATTCAGTTCCTAAAGAGGGCTATATTAGGGTGTGGACTGGATTCAAGGCAGAAAAGGGGTGGGGTTTAACTATACTGCTGCTGCATCGCTATTGGTTGACGCGGGGGACAAAAATGCGTGTACCTGGTGCAGGTAAACAGACTGACATCAGACACAGCAGGGATGGATCGGCTGGCGGGAATTACTGAACCCCTTCCACTTCATTTAACCAACAATCCTGGACAACTTGACAGCTTTTTTGCGTGGCTTTTATACAGGTTTGTGTTGTATACTCTACTAAATACAGAACAAATAAAGAAAAGTTAACATTTGTAGGTTAAAATCTTTTTTAAATGTCAAGCGTCTGTGCTTTATTGTCTTGTTTTTCCTGACAGCTTTTGCGTTTTGCCTCGTAAAGCAGTTGAGTTTGCAGTCAGAGAGCACCTGTGTGCATTTATCAACTTTTGCAAGTGATGTCTCAGCTGCAGATTTAAGTCTTGTAGGGAGAGATGGTCCTAAGGTTGTTGGTGATTTGAGAGTAAGGCAGTAATAGAGGGTTACATTTGAGTGAGTTTGGTCTCTACATGTTTTACAGCAACCCTGCATTCATCGAGGCTCAAAAGGCTCCAGAATGATGGGAAACAGGTCCTGTCTTGTGCAGGGAGAGGCCAGCCTGGCACACCCTCCACTCACGAACACTTAGAAAGAGACGCAAACATACACATAACCTGTTTTTCAAGTATTTTATTCTTTTAACTCATCTCAAAATTATTTCCCAACAGGACAAAAAATGACATAGTTGAAAGCCTGGATAGGATCAGCCGTATCAGCGATGTCACTCCCAGAGACTTCGCTCCGGAGGCTCCAGCAAGCTCGCTGCTCTAATGAAACCATCCATGTATTCTATCCTTCATTCCACCGGAGTCTGTGTAAAGTGCCAATCAGATTTCTGTGGTTTGAAGAGTAAAACACATGGAATTTATCACCTGGAGAGAGTTTTCCTAAGAACAACGTCACATTAAAGAAGGTTTTATTGGTTGAAACTTTTCAAATAAAGGTGTATATGACAGAAGATCAACTTCATTGTATGTCCTTTGATATCTTTTTGTGTCAACCTGGTGTTAAATGCCACAGTTCTGCACAAGCACAGAATAGAGGACTTCTCCTCCTCCTCACCTGCATTGCGACAGCAGTTGAAAAGCGCTGCACTGATTGCACTTTGGAGTTATTGCAGGATCACAGAGTGCTGGCAGCCCCACTTTATGTCTGTTGAAGTGTCAGTCACTGCGGTTGTTATGTCCTCACCCTGTCTCCCTGCCCTTGCTTTCTCCAAGACATAGCAATTACATAATCACTCCTAAATTCCCACATTGCCACATCCACTGCAAACTTCTTCAGGGTGTGTGCCAAGACATCGTTTTGTGACCCTTAAGTGTTTTCTTCCTATAACTACACCCAAATAGCTCAGACATACATCTCAGAATTGTATTGAGTGATTCATCTTAGGTAATGAACATCTATTGTTTGCTATAAGGAATATAGTTTTCCCATCAGGTTCTAAACCAATTCTCTGTTGGACAATTAACCTGCCTCATTAGTATTAGCAGATTCCATTCAAAGCCTTAATTGCAGCTAAATGGGCAGCTGGAAGTCATTTGACAGCTACATTGAGCTCTGCGTCACCCAGCTATAATTCTTCCAGCAAATTAAGATGGAGAGAATATAATGAATAAACCAACAAAGACACACAGTGCCAGAATTCATACAGACCTGTATTGAGCAACAGTGTTGTTATGACAGTTTCTTCCTTAATTATAGACGGTGATACAATAAACCCACAGGTACACTTTCTCATTCACAGCTAAATGTGCTAAACCCTCAACAGTTATTAAACACATATCTGGAAAGTCTCACGAACAAGAAATATTTGTATAAAAACTTCTCAGCTATGAAATCACAACCCCACAGGAAAGATAGATCCCTCTATCACAAACACATTACACAATATATATAGAATGACGCACTTAAAGACTGATCCTCATCATGTTGGCCTCCTCTGCTGACCTGTCAGTAATCCCAGCATGCATCACATATTTGTAAGACTCGTGTCTTTCTCATGAGCAGGCTTCTCCTGCACTATACACTTCAGCCTGCCATTCACCTTCCTGTTGGAGGCAATAATGACCACGGGGCTTAGCGCTGCATAGAGCGAGGAGAAGAATATGCGCAGGTCAGAGATCAGCGAGGAAGGCATGGTCTCGCTCACAGTGAGAGTATACACCCAAAGCCCATTATCCACCCCATAAAGAACCACATACAAGCTCACAAGTGCTACCACAACTTTGGCAGCTCTTTGCTCAGCACCTCCCCCCCCACCGCTGCTGCAGCGGAGCCCCTTCACCTGGTGGCTGTGCTTGTAAAGGAACACCAGGAGGATCAGACTGGCTAGAGTCATGAGGGCCATGGGCACCACATCCCGGACCACCTGAGCTATCCCGTTCGCCTCTTTGGACAACTTTGAAGGAAAGTTTACATAGCAGAATTGTACGTTGATGCCATTGATTATTGGGCTGGACTCATTTTTGGTGCCAAATGAGAAGAGAATGGCTGCCGAGGTCATGCAGGTGTTGAGCACCCAGAGGAAGAGGAACACAAAGCCCAGATAGCGGGCCAACAAGGTGCGGACGGAGGACCAGCGTGAGCCGGGGGGGGTGATGCTCAGGCACTGGTAGGCACTCAGGAGGAAGGTGATCCAGATTGAGAGGGAACGGGATGCTCTGTACACGAAGATGACAGATTTGCAGCCTAGGTCTCCAAAGATGTTGGCCAGGCTGAAGGAGGCCAGGGTCTCCAGCAGACAGCGGACCACCACCACCAGCAGGTTGACACAGGCTAGGTGCAGGACGATGGCATCAGCTGGGAGGAGGCGGTTCTCCTGGTAGAGCAAGAGGAGGAATGCTAGGATGACGCTAGCATTACCTGGGACTCCCACAACGGTGAGGGACAAGTAGAGCACCCCTCGGACCAACTCCTCCGATGGCATTCCTGCAGGAATAGTACAATAAACCAAGTGTATTTAAAATGATATCAGAACAAACTCATTGCAGAAATGTACAACGCCTGAGAACAATCAAAGCTAGGAACATCTGAAGTGGACCTTGTCCCTGATCCCTCTCTCCTGAAGTAGTTGGGGTGTTTGTGCTCTTATACTTGCAAACAGTTGTTGGATCTGTTTTTCATGCTCCATTGACTTCTCTTCCCTCAGCCTCCAATTACTTGAGATCAATTCAGATGACTGCTTCTGTCCCCTCGATGGATTTCAGACAGACAGGATAACAGAGGAAGCTGTGTTTGGATTCATTAACAGAAAGCCAACCAGTGGACAGAGAAACTGGTGTTAATGAGCAGATAATATCCATTAGCCATATGTTTAGATTAAAACAATTTCTCCATGTCACTGTTTCACCTGGTGGAGACTATTGAATAGTTCTTTTAATCACTGATGCTATATTTAGTTTCCCTTTTAAGACCCTTCATATTGCTTTTGTATTTGTAATTCCTACAATTAATTATAAAAGCCACTATCTATTCAGAAAGCTAGAAAGTCCTTCTGTTGCTTAGTCAAACACCAACACCACAGTGTCCTCCAGTGGAGAGAGTTGAAACAAAGTTAAAGCCAGAGGACATTCCACAGTCAGTCTGCATTAGATCACCCACAATGTCATTTAAAAAGCATCCATGGCATCAATGTATGTTTGTTTAATTCATCCAAAGCAATTCAAGTTCAAAAAAAGGAAATTATATAGGGCAAATAAGGGTGGATGGGCTGTATGATTTAACTTCAACATGTCCCACAGCAAGTCATTGATAGTGGATATTAATTAAGACATTTATCACAAGTGTATTATGAGACATGACCTCCACTAAAATGAAAATAATAAATACTAGTAATATAATAATGAATTCGATAACTTACATTCACAAAAGCATCCACTAGTTACATATATATATATGTATATATATATATATATATATATANNGTAAATGGCTTGATGGAAAGCAGGTGTGTAGTCGGGGAGGGTGCACAGCTGATTGCAGCAGGTGAGTGGAGGTTGAGCCGGGAGCCAGGAGTGACAGCCACCACGCACACAGAAACAATACAGACAGGGGGAAACAAACAAACACAAAGGAGACGGCTGGAGCAGTACAGGCACCACAGCGTTACCTAATGCAACTCCACACTACGTCTTACGGTGCCGTGTACCGGAGGGGTGAGAGAGAGCAGCGAAGGGGGGGGGGGAGAGAGATGTAATACGGTTTCCTGATAAACGTTTTGTTTGATAGGCTTCAGCTGTGGAGAGTATGTGCTGCAGGGAGGTGGATGCACCTCGCACAACGCACCCAGTAACGAAAGCTAGCTCCGGTCCTTTTCCTGTTAGGGAAACTGTGGACTCGATGTCCTGACAGGCTCGAGTTTGTGCAACCTGCACAAACACAAGCTCACCATGATTACAAATGGTGAAATGCAATGTAAAATGACCGAAAAAATACCAGCTCACTAAATCACAACCGCTCAAACCAACTACAAACGACTACCGCGGATTGGGCAGAGAACGAGTCCGAGAAAGTTGAATGTGACGTAATATGACGTGTTTGACGTTAAAACGTCTTGTAAAACATATCAAATCCTGCATTAACCTTTTTAATTGTAATTTTCAGGCAAGGTTAAACATAAATCTAGTAAAAAAAAACAACCTGCAAGTTGCTCTTTAAGCACAACATTTAGCTTTCCTGATATCAATGGAGAGCTTGTTTCCACCATTTATGAGCCAGGATAACAAACAGGAGTACTTTTGACAAGCTGAGTGATAAATGTGTCTCATCTTCTTGTCTGGTAATATGATTAGATGGTTGCATCTTTTGTGGCTGTCTGGTAACATTATTACATTTGGGATCGCTTCACAGATCAGATCTGTTCCAGCTGATAAATAAGATGACCTGACCTGGGCGCAAATGATGAAGGAAATGGAAAGTGCCAAAAGGAAGATAGTGGAGACGATGACGTCAACGGAGCGCTGCGGCCCTCGTCTCTGCAATAAAATCAGAAATATTTTATTAATATCACAGTGGGGAACAGTGCAGATAAAAAGGAAAATGCAATATGTATTCAATAAGAATAAGCAAGTCAGTGAACACACCACTACAAACAAAGACTAGTCCAGTGAAACACTCTTGAGGTGAATAAAATATACACAAACAGGGGGAGTGTTAAAGCAGGAGAATACACACCCTGAGAAAAGAGCGTAGTGACAACCACATCTTAATGTTCTGGACTTTCTTCAGCCTGAAGTGAGGGATCTCGGATTTCTTGGCCTTGCGAGCTGAAGTCAGGTGGCTGAAGTACTTGGCAAACAAGAGTCTCTGTAACGGGAACAAGGGAAATACAGTGTCAGAGATGCAAAGCACAGATAGAGTTAAGCAGTTCTGCAAAGAGTCAAGAGAGGTGATTCTGTTTAAATGGTTCTTAACACCACTAGAGGGAGACATTTGTTAAATAAATGAACTGAATGAATTGATAAGTGTGGATGAGTTGGATAATTGTAAGTACATGGATTTTAACTTCATGTTTATTACGAAAGGGCAATATTTGTACATGTAGGGCTTGAATAAATATTTGTGGTTAGTTAGTTAGCTGCATGCTTCCAATTGAGCTCTGTTATCTTTAGTCAACATTTTTTGGCATTTGCTAATTTGGACCATTGAAAAACCGTTGGTAGTTCCTGTTTGCATTGTTGCCATGGATGTCAGGACGACCAATTCAATAATTCATTCTCATATTGAAGAACCTTATAAATGTGGTAATTATGAAAAAAGAACTGAGATTATAGGAGATTTTTTTCTAGGAGTTATAAAAAGACACACAGACGTTTATATGACCTATTGATAACCTCAGGAGTTGCATTCAGTTATGAAAAGCCATTTAGTTTTGACTTTGGGATGGAGGAATGCCACTTTGGGGTTAGAATTGATTCTATAAGCAATGATATTGAACTACACATAACCTAGTGGCAAGACATAGCTGAGAATAAATTGTGAGCAAATATATAAAAAATACTTTGGCGCTCACCTGTTTGTACGTTCTCTCAGCCACACACATCATGAAGAAGAACAGTCCTATGAGGCAGACTCTTTGCAGCGTTGTGATGAGGAAAAAGACGTAGGCATGGAGACCATGCTGCCCCAGCGCCATGTCTACCAGCTCCTTCTGTGAAAGGGAGCTGAGTTTGGACACGTCCAGACGCTGAGCCAGGTGGAAGGCAAAGGGAAGCAGAGCCAGGCTGGTGGTCATCAGCCCACCAAGCATGAGGTAGCCCACACCCTGCTCCACCAACTTCACCTGGGAAGAAACAGGAGGGAGACACAGGAGACATCTTGTTATGCTGCAAAGAAATTCTGCTAATAAAATCAGTGCATCTGGACAGGTACTCAGTCAGAAAATATTGATTTAAATGAACACAGCCTGCATGTTTAATGCCTAGAAGTCATTTAACAGTACATGTCTGACAGCTAAACGTTGAGATTTTCCATTCTTTTCATATCAGTAATCATGTAAAATGTACATTGTAATTGTAAGAGCCATTTTGATGGAGTGTCATGTTTGGGTTCAAGTTGTCACAATCAGGTGTTATTCACTGTGTGTGCCATAGGGTGTCGCTGTCCGATTCCCTATGGCGAATGGTATTTACGTTGTTTTTTTTGTCACCTGATGGGGTGTGTCTGACCCCAAAAGGGCAAATGGTTAGGAGAAGTCGCAATACCACAAAGCATGTTTGTTAACAAGGATAATTGTGTGGACTTCACTTTCACGATGCACAAACTCTGGTCAATAAATGGAACGTCAACAAGCCTACCGACTCATCATTGAAAACAACAACACAAACGGTATCTATAAACACAGTAAGCGCGTCAGCCAATTCATCCCGGGAGTTAAAACACCACATGGAAGCTTCAGTATTGGGCTAAAGCTCCTTTGGTAATCCTATCTGCACCTTATATTGCATATTATTATTGCATAACTCAAGATGACTACACTTTGAATTGCAATATTTCTTGTCACAGATATGACTGTGTGGTAGACAAACTAGGAGACCTAGAAGAGGTTATTGTGTAAATGTTGTGTTTTAAAGGGTTAGGAATCACCTAAGTCACACAATAACCAAAGCAACATAACCAATCTAGGCAGTTGTAGACCAGAACCATCCTCTGTCTGTAAGTTAAAATGATTGATTTTGTCAGAGGAGTCTGGTGGTTTGCAAAAAGGGCATCGGTAACAGCTTCAGTTCCCCTGTGAAAATGGCTGTCTGACACAGCAAGGTAAAGAACAGTGAACTCTCCCTTTTTAGGCACACAGTCTTGGTTCTTGGCTTCAAACACTTGTATTATGCAGCACTAGGAGGGCTATCGATAATATATTGGTTTTGTGATATGAGACTAGATCTCTAAATATTGCACTAAGTGACTTTCTACTGGTTTTAAAGGATGCATTACGTAAGTGACAGATTGTTCTAGTTGTCTGTTATATTATTTGCCTTACCCACATAGCCATTATATCCACATACCTAATAATCATATTTAAAAACATTTTTTGTGTGAAAGCGATAGTCAACCCTATGATATTGTAGTAATCTTGAAGTCCAGGTATTTAACCTCAAATATTGTGATATCGGATGTCTTCATACCACACAGTATAAAACTGCACATGCTGTATCATTATTACAAACATAAAGAGGATAATGTGTACCCGTGTGAGGATGATCCCACTGATCTCCAATACTGACATGTCTGCTTTCTTACACTCGCCCTGCTCCCATATTATGGCACTGACACGGTCCTTGGATGGGTGACACGCCTGCAGCCAGGACAGCTGGTTCTGAAATCACATGCACAATAAAGTTTACTGCTGCTTTTAAATGTGTAAATAATGCTGCAGTGTCGTATTCTGCAATGGTTCTCGGGCTAAATAGGATTCTGATTTACTGGGATTATTCATAAAATGTGGAGATATCTGAAAATAAACCATAACTTTTAAAACACAACCGTTAAGTCCACACAACACAAGGTTTACTGTCGATCTTACTCCGGCGATCCCCTGCTGCAGGCTCTCATCGTCACTGCTCAGAGTGGTGGTCGGTGGGAGCGTCAGGCCGGCATTGTACCTCCCGTTCACCTCACTGTCGCTGCTCCCCGTGGAGGCGGAGTCAGGCCCCTGGAGAAGCTCCTCCCACAATGTGTCATCGGTGTCGGAGGCAGGACGAGAGCCCAACCTTGGCCTGAGGCGATCCACTTCTCGAGGCTTCACTTTGACGGAAGCCCCACTCACTTCCTGTTTCAGTGTTTGAAATAATTGTTTAAATCCTGCATACTGTGATCAATCATAAATACCTGTTCTATAAACAAAACACCAAACTTCACCTGAGGTCTTAATGTGGGTGTGGCCATAGAGTTTAGACTCCTCCTTCTAACAGAGGCCCCTGTTGCAGATGGCGGCCATGTTGACGCATGTTGTCTCTCTGGATCAGGTGCTGGAAGAATTAATTCCACCGGTTGAACCCCCTCCTCTTCCTCACTGGAGAGCTCGTCGGATGCGCCAAAACCTGACTTTCTTGTGATCTGTGAAAGAATATCAAGTCACACAAACAAAAGGAATGACAACACATGCATGAATTTCAAATATGCCATAAGACTAAAATGCTATGGTGTACAAAACATGTTATTAAAGAATCTAGAGCAGCTTTGAAACACAATCCTTAACCAACGGAAATTCATAAAATAACAAAACCATCCGTCAGTGTGATGAACTCAGATATAATAGCGAGAGTTGATAAAACGACTGCACGTTTTAATATTTATTAAAATATCTATTCAGATATAGGTCATCGACTTCATTATAGATAGTTTTCATCTTTATTACTACTTCTTCAGGTTTAACTCAATCTGCCTCTCTTTTTGAGACAGCAAACAAAACAAAAATACCTTATTTTGATGTTGATATTAGCCATGAGGTAACACAATTCAAAATGTTATTAAACCTACATGTCAATACAGCCCACCTGCATTTATTTGGTGTTATTTTTATCTTTGATTCATAAGTTATTTTCTTCTTTACTTTATATCACAGTCCTGAGATTGAGTAGTTCGATGAGTGACTGTACCCTCCTCTCTTCGTTCCTGTATAACAGCTGGCTTTCTTCAAACGGCCAGGACCCCTGCTGCTCTCTGTCCTCGCTGTCATTCTTCTCCTCAGATTTTTTCAGCCCTCTGCTCTTCCTTGGCCTTGCAGGAGACGGAATAAAAATGTCAGTTGAAGACAAGAAATTGTAAATACAGCAGCCATTACAAAATGAACTAAAACAACAGGAGTGAAAGAAGTTCAAGAGAGGCCTTACTGAACAGAATAACTCTAGGTTTAAGGTCTCTGGGTCTATTTGTGTGAATAATGTGGCAGTGTATGCAACTGCCAAGAGGTGAGAGTGTGTTTGTAAAGGCAAATGAGTGTGCAGTGCCTAACAATGACTACAGCACCTCCGTCTGCGAGCGGGGCTGGTGGTGCAGCTGGCAGCTGGACTGCCCGAGGACCACCGGCTGGACTCAGTGGACACAATCTGGCAGTGCACCGTGCCCAGCAGCAGCATCAGAAACATGGGGCCAAACACCTCGCTGGCACTCGCCCCAGGGACATCCACGTACAGCAGCAGCGCGGCCACTGAGGGGAGCAAAACATTTGGCATCAGCAAACAAAACGGTCCCTTCGGGGGCCCATTATAACAGAATTCCTGCTTACTAATGAGGTCTGTCTGTGTTGCTCAGGTGTGATGGTTAATATGGTTAGTGTTGCACATAACTGTGTAAACTGCAACAAATGGAGATCCTGAATTAAGTATATCAAAAACAGGGTACTGTTTTTTTCCTTTAATGACCGTGTTTGTGTTTTAATGGTTTAACAAAGTCAATAGAAAAAGCTCTAAAAGATTATTGTAGCTGCAGAGATGTTGTAATTTAGGAACAACACACACTCAAGAGTAACTGTTGTAATATACATGAGCTTTGTCAGTTAATATTACCCAATGCATGTCAAGTTGGTTAACTCATTTCAGCTCCATTGGTTAAAGAAAAGCATGTTAATAATTAGTATTATAAAAGAGGCAGTTTTAAAAAGGTACAAACATAATAAACTATCTGAAAGTCTAGAATAGGGGTCCAGACAGAAAGTATTTACAAAATATATTACTAAGACATCTGAAATTGAGTTAATGTATTATGACAAAGATGTTAAGGATTAGTATTCTGTTAAACCTGTTCTCCAACATCAAGTGACATTTCAGTTATAACTCAAAATCTTTCACGAGTAGCATAAGTGTCAAGACAACCCACTTTGAGTTTGTTTAAAATGTGTAGTCATGTAATTTGTACACTGGTTCTTGTAATTATCTTAATGTTTGAATTCATAACCAAATGCAGTCCAGTTCTCTGAGAAACCACAGCCCAATTATGAATACAATTAGATTGAGGCGGTGAGCAAACCTTGCATGAAGTAGAGCACGAGGATGCAGGAGGAGATGGACTTGGAGGTGACCTGGATCCACCACTGGAAGAAGAACGGGAACAGCAGCACTCGGACCAGACCCTTCCGAGTCAGAGCTGTCCAGGGCCGGTCTGGTTTGGCTTTGCTGAAAGTTGATCCTAAAGGGAGGAATAAGAAAGTCTCTTATAAACCATTATAGATTTGACAATATCTCACAGCTTTACAACATAATGGTTGCTCTTTTGCTGTTACGGTTAAGCAAGACACAACTACATTCAACAAAAGTTACAGAAACAGAACGTACAAAACGATAAAAATCAGAACATAGGCAGAAATGACTTAGGTTAGTGTGGATATGTGTGGACAGGGTAAGGACCAAATGTATTTACTACTAACAATAGATGGAGAACTACTCTTCATCGAGCCTCACCTCTTACTAAGTCGACATCAATGAGGTCTGGTTTGATGTGGCCCGTCTTTCTTGGTTTGCTGTTCAAACCCTTGATACATGGAAAGTGGTATTTTCGATTTAGTGGGAATGCCGAAGATAGATACACAAAGTATTTATTTGTTAAGATTTTTTTTGTCGTCTTACATTTAGATCCGTGTGCTTCAGAGATTTCTCCCAGACTTGTTGATCATAGGCTCCGATCTGTAGCAACAACACAACTTTTATCAATACTTTCCTTGAGAACAAGCACAGCAGGATGCTAAATAAACTGGTTATTAAAATAAATGCATTTTAAGTACAAATGATTAAACCAATGTACTTTTATCTGGCATTTAAATAAAACACTGAAGCCTCATACACATCACAAGTATGACTATAGGACAGCAGGCAGTAGCTCAGTCTGTACGGACTTAGCCTAGGAACTGAAGGGTCGCCAGTTGAACTCCTGATCTGTCCAAAAATGATATATAATTAGTGTGGACTGGTAGCTGGAGAGGTGCCAGTTCACCTCCTGGTCACTGCCGAGCTGTCCTTGAGCAAGGCAACTTAACTGCTCTCTGGCGCCGGACAACCTGGCAGCCTCTTCGCTCTAGCAGCTCTCTATAAAATGCATGTGTGTATTTGTACTGTGCATTACTATGCATGTGTTTGTTTTTAATGTGTGTATTCAACCAACAGAGTAAAAAACGGAATCTCTACTTGGGGATAAATAAAGGGTCATCTTCTTCTTAAAAACACTACATGAAGTACTAACATAAACAACGTAAGAGATGATGGAATTTGTTATATTATATGATTACAGGTTCAGCAGGAAGAAACACTTTCAATTGCTCCACCGCTGTTTAAGACATGTAAACACATGTCTTAAACGGCGTCAGATGTTGTTCACATTTGATGCAAATCAGGTTATATGAAAGTGAGCTCTTAAAATGAGTATTACATAATTGTGTGCTTCTGGCAGCCTTAGTAAATATCCTCCTACATGTTTCAACATATGGAGGTAACCTAACCTGTAACAGGTCCCACCTTTTTTTTCCAACTTCATTTGCTTTGTACACAGTCAAACAAAACAGGAAAGGTATGCAGGTGTTTGTGTAGAATCAGCAGTGTCTCTGTCAATTAAACACACAATACATCAACAAGTCTTAATCTTAGACTTGTGTCTGCTGGGTTTTTCTGGGACCATTTGCATTTATTGATATAAATATTGCCTTTTAAATAAATACATGGCCTTTGTCAGTATATTTTTACAACACAACCCCTTATTTATTTATCTTTGAAACTTGTTTGTTGGATATATTAATGATACGCCTTTCACAACAACATATGTTGTTTACCTTCTCTTGATACCAGGCTATTCTGGCCATTGTGATCAGATTCTGGAACCAGTGAAGTCACAGTCAGGTCATTTCACAAAGAGTGCAGGAAAGAGAGACGACTGGGCAGAAATCCAGATTTGTTCACTAGACAAAAAGAGGTACAGACACATTGAACCAGACAAAAAGTGATGGAATGAAGCTAAGTAGATGGGTTGATATGATTAAGTGCTGTCCTTAATTGTATGTATAGATTAATGTAAGAAGGGACAATCATTAACATGAGCACTCTCATTCCCATCATGTCATTTGTCGGATTTAGTTGCTAATGTTCCTACGCAGTCCCTGAGGTTCGAGTGCTTTCTTTGATTCTTTTTTATTTTATGCTTCTTTATAACTCTACTCTTCTACATTCAATAAGAACATATTGTACTTTTAACTTAATAATATTTGTTTAACAAACATAAGTTACTAACTATTCTACAGATTCAAGTATATTCAACAACAAAATGATACAAGTCTGATGCAGTTGACCCGTAATAATAACCCAAAAAGAAAAATACATCGAATAAACATGTTTTAAGCAACATTGGATCTGTTAATATGTACCTCACATTTACCAATTACAACAATAGTAATGCTTACACATTACTGTATCACCAATTATAATACATTCATATATTATTATGTAATTGGCCATTCTGCATTATTGATTATTTTACTATTGCTACTTTAAATATATTAAATGCTAATACTCATGAAGGCTACTTTTAGATTTTGAATGCTTTACTTTTGCAGTAGTTTTGACATTTCTACCTTAAATCGGAGAAATTCTTCCAGCAATGCATAACAGCAACACAATGAAGAAAATAGTTAGAAAGCGTTAGCTGTAGATGTGGAGCGGTTCGTTAGCTACAGTAAGTTTCGTGATGCAGCACACATCTGCTGACGTTCAACCAAATTCTTTGTAAACAAGCTAACAAAAGCTAACCGTTAGCAAGAGCCTTACATAACTCACCTAAAATGAAACAGAGCGGGTTGGTCTGCCACAAACTGGAAGACAGCTTTAATAATCATCACAAACTGGTCGCTGAATACTTCACTGTCAGGAGCAAAGCAGCGTCTTGTTGTCAAACTGAGCTAACTCCTAGCTACGCGTTTATCCCAACTGACACTCTTCGACACGTTACATGACTTCAGAATGTTTCATTTCTAAACTGCTTCCTTCGTACGCATGAACGTATGCCGATACGTTTATTCTAGGAACTGTGTACTTCACTAACTACACTTTTATTTACTTTTAGTTTAGCATTAGGGGCCGTGTTCCGCTTCCCTTTTCCGGGGTTTGTTGTGCTTGTGTGGGATTTGCCCTCCCTCAGTCATGTCTCTCAGGCTGAGAGTGCGCTCTGTTATGCTGCAATCTGAATCATTTCCCGTGGGTAAGATTGAGACAATAACCGCTACTATTGCGGTTAAATTACTATTAAATGTCACTATATGGTCAAAATGTACCCATAACCTGAAGCTGTATTAAAAGTAAGCATTTGAAATCTAAGTGAGACTACTTCCCAGGGACAATAAAACCTCAACATTTAACAAAACGTTTAGAGGACATACCTGTCTTTAATGTTGGCTAATGCCTGTTTAAATTGCTTTTGAATGTCAAACGATCCCAAATATAATCAGTGTAAGACCACAACAGACATATCATATCATGTAAAAGCAAAGGGGTGTTTTGCACAATCGCTTCAAAAATGTATAAACAACAAAACAAAACAATTAATAAACAAAATGGATGTACTAATGAAAATACCGATTGACTAATGGCTTCAGCTCTAATGACAATGACCTGTCATAAAGTTCAGACACCTGTATAATTATGATTTTATTCAAAAATATACTCAAGAGACACTGTATCACCATTACAAGGCACTATTTGTACTACTTCTAAAAAGTCCATTGTTCAGCTAAACGACTGTCATCTGTGCAGCAGGGTTGAAAATGATGAGGTCCGAGAAAACAACCTTGTCTTGTTTGTCAACAGTCTGTCAAGACAGCAAAAGAGTGTCATTTCTCACTCGATTCCTGATTGTCCACTGACGGCTGATCTTGCTCTGCTGCACACACGATCTTCGCCTTGACCTTCTTGTTGGAGGAAATGATGAAGTAGGGGCTGAGAGAGGCGTAGCAAGAGGAGAAGAACACCCTCATATCAGCCACCACTGGTGACACCTTCGGCACCGTCAGCATGTAGATCCAGATCACGTTATCAATGCCGAAAAAGAACACATACAGAACCACCAGGGTGACCACCGTTTTAGCCGCCCTGGTCTCTGCCCCTCCGCCATGAGAGCGACGCATCCCTCTCACCTTGTGGCTGTGGCGGTGGAGGAGCAGCAGGATGTACCCACTTGAGCCCAACATCAGGGCAACAAAGGCAAAATCCCTCACAGACACAGCCACGCCATTTATCACATAGGACAGGTAGTCTCTGAAGTCCACATGACAGAAGCCCAGGTTAAGAGTAAAGGCAGGGACCGTGCCATTACGTGGGGCCATTGAGAAGAAAGGGGCTGCGATGCATATGGCCATGTTGAGTAACCACAGTCCTGCAAATGTAGGGAGGACCAAGGAAGGAAGTGCAGGTTTCAATCTGGATAAACGGGGTCCAGCGGGGGCGATGGTGACTGCCTGAAACACACTGAGCATGCAGGTGATGCAGACTGACAAAGCCCGGCCGATACGGTAGGCGTAGATCACCACCTTACAGCCGGGGTCATTCAGCAGGTACTTCAGCCCAAACACAGTCATAGTCTGGGGGACGCAGCGGGTCAGCAGCAGCATCAGGTTGGCGAAGGCCAGGTGGCACAGGATCAGGTCCACAGGAAGGATCTTGGGCTGGGTGCAAATGATGTTGGCGTAAGCCAGCAGAACCACAGAGTTTCCAAAGATGCCCATTCCTGTTTGCAAGAGGAAGGAGACCCCTTTGATGGTCACACACAGATCCATAACAGCAGTGCCTAAAGTGGTCCTGATTTGAAAAGCAGACACAGAAACTGTTATAAATACACTGAAAACATCCTCCATGCCACCAAGCTGAAAACTATAACCACATAAATAATACAACCAAACTGGATACAATCATGTTATTTCTCAAATGTTTTTATTCAAAATTAAGCTTACCTCAATTTGCAGATGAACCGAAAAGCCTGTTGTGCATTAAATGTTTAATTGCCTGTGAAATTGCAATTTATAGTATCCGATGCCCCTTGAGATCATTGGCCACCGTTGCAGTTTTCAGCCCACAGTTTGGAAAATTAAAGCAACAAAATAAATCTGACTCAAGTGATCTCAGAGGACAAAGCACTAAAGAGGGAATTTGTACAGCTGAAGGGCACACACAGTTTTAAGTCTGGATTAAATCGGTAGTCCCATATGAACATTGAAGCCGTTTTTGTTTTATGTAATTATTCCTTCTGTTCATATCTTACTTGCTGGACAAAAAACAACATCCTTTGGAGAACATATCTCTTGAACATTGGATGTCCTTGGTGGCCAATTCTTTGGGGGTTGTGTATCTCCTTTACACCTGCGAGACTTCAGCAGCCATTCTTCTTCTAGTGACAACAACTATTACTCCACAAATGTCCCCAAAACCGTCCATAGGATACTAGAAAGGAGTATTTTAGTTTACAGTAAGCACATTAGTAATAATTACAACAAAATGTGTTCAATGTACTTATGGTAATATTTTGTATGTTTGAAAACATACATCAAAACAGTTTGATCTATAATCTGTCATTTAAGTTTTAATGTGACATTCTCATCCAAATGGGAGAACAAAACCCTGCTATAATGTGATTACTTTTCTGGTATGGAATAAGATACAGTATAGTGCAATATCAAACCCCTGCAGGCTGCATATCAACAAACATTTCAGACAGTGGTGTAAAGTAACTAAGTACATTTACTCAAGTACTTTACTTAAGTACAACTTTGAGGTACTTGTACTTTACTTGAGTATTTAAATGTTTGGGATATTGCACTTCTCCCTTATTTCAATTCAGAGGTAAATCGTTTACTTTTACTCGACTACATTTATTTAATACCTTTAGTTACTTAACAGATGTGGATTAACAATGTGAAATACAAACAACAGTTAAATCAGACTTTGGTTACACCTGTACATTCACAATCTACCCTGCAAAGTCATTAAGACTAGTTGCACCTTTACCAGCTTTGATAACACTTTAATGATCAATAATTATAATCAAAACATATAATATATATTATTCTGAAATGGACCAATCTGTGTATCAATCAACTTTGACTTTTGGTACTTTAAGTATATTTTGATGCTAATACTTTTGTACTTTTACTTGAGTAACATTTTGAATGCAGGACCTTTGCTTGTAACAGAGTATTCCTAGACTCTGGTACTTCTAATTTTACTTAAGTACAAGATCTGAGTACTTCTTCCAAACCTGTTTTCAGATTAGTTTAGGTTTTAGTGTTGTAGATTTCTCCATCATCAAATTATTTAATTTAGCTGCCTTGTATTTATAACATACCGTATGTTACTTCTAAACTTCAGTGGTCTTTTCCTGTACTTAACTTCATCACTTCAGTGTCCATAGACAGAGACTGTCAGTTAATCATTGTAATGCTATTTCCCAGCTGACTGAAAAAAAAGTTAAACTCTCCCTGCGGAGACAACTATATGTGGTTATTGTTGATGCAAAGGCAGCCTGATGATGCCTTGAATGAGCTATCAAGAGGCTTTTACAAGCACAGCTGGTGCTTGAGTTGCGCTCCTCTCCTCCTGCATGTCCTGGGAGCGTGTTAAAAGACACAGAGGAATAAGACAATTAGCCATATATAACAATGCATGTCTGTACTAATTGGGGGCACAGGGATGAGCCGCCATTATTCATTTATGTTCCTCACTGACATATGCTACAACAGAAGTTTGTTATTCGTATCACGCTTTTTCAGCACCATGAACCAAATGTGTCTTCATTAAAAGCGCTGTGACCGACTGGTTTATTTTATATTTCAGTTTTTTCTCTTGCAAAGCTGGGACTGGGTCTGTGAGCTGAAACATTGTTGTTTGAGGAGCCTCTCTTCTCTCGGGAGTGGGCTGTGGAATAACCCATCATAGGATGTGTTATTTCCCTGTGTGTGTTTTTTCATTACATGTTTACATGTTCAAAGAGCTAATTAAAATGGCAAGTTCAAGCATGTCCTTCTCAGGGGATTGCATCATGTAAAGTACGCTGCGAAATCTGAGCTTTTTCCCCCTTGACATGAAATTAGATTTCCTTTTTTATGGATGATGTAAATTGTTTTCTCCCGTTGCAGTAATTCAATTAAAATGTGTATGAAGTAATTCAGTTACAATATCATCCTTAGAGGTGAAGCACACACATTTTAATACAGTTCCTGTCACCAAATATGTCTTTTTTTGTTCGCTGCATGTATTAAGACAGTGTGTTTTCCTAAATAAGACATGCATTTATTGAGGGTAATAATAATAATAATAATACATGGTATTTTTATATCACTTATACAGGTGCTCAAAGACGCTTTACATACACTCAATTTTGTGGACAATAGCCAGAGGAGACATTTGGGATGAAGTGTCTTGCCCAAGGAGTAAATTGTTGTATGGGTTCTTCGCACAACGGCTGAACTCAAATGGCATTTTCATAGCTTTGATAACAGTTTTAGATCATTTACTTGGCAACTGGCATTCTATTGCATCATTATGTGCTGATGTTAAATCAGTGTTAAAGTTAGTTGTTTTAATAGAATTGAAGATAGATTAGTACTTTTTCAACTTTTGCCCCTTTAAGTATGCTGGTGAGGGCAACAGCTTTGGTTGGGGAATATTGAGTGCACCCCTTACTGTGCAGTTAATCTGTCCAACGGCAAACATTTGGTTTAAGAGGCTTTTGACTTAGCTGTCCTCCGTCAGATATTGATGGGCCTTATACTCTGTGTCTGCATTTAAGGCGAAGGTGGCAACATCAAGCTGTCACAACCTTTGATATATTTCTCGATATGTTCTGTATCTTTTTCAGTAAGATAAATTGAGCATAATGAAAAACACAAACTAATCCTTAAAATGTATTGTGTGTATTGAGTGCTTTTACCTGTCACATCTCATCTGCAGTGATCATTCATCAGTTTAGGTACCTGTCTGCCGTTTTCTCTCTGTTTTCTCTATCCACAACATGCTTTTTGTTTGTTTTTTATTATGTTTTATGCACCTTCAAGTTTGTGTACAAATTGTGTTTCAACATGTATTTGCAGGGATAATACAGTGGAAGAGAAAGGAGTTGGATCC